TATAATTCACATACTCTATGTTATGGGTTGAACTGTGTCTCTGAAAAAGACACCACTCCTGGTATCTGTGTCTGTGACCTTATTTGAAAATAGGGTCTTTGCAGATGTAATCAAGTTAAGATGAGGTCATTAAGGTGGGCCCTAATCCAGTATGACTGGTGTCCTTATAAGAAGAGACACAGAGACAGACACACAGGGAGAATGCCATGTGACAACAGAGGCAGAGACTGGAGTGATAGGTCTACAAGCCAAGGAACACCAAGGATTCCTGGCAATACCACGTGCTAAAAGAAAGGCATGGAACAAATTCTTCCCTAGAGCCTTCAGAGACAACATGGCCCTGCGGACATCTTGATTTTGGACTTCTAGCCTCCAAAGCTGTGAGAGAATAAATTTTGTTGTTTTAGGCCACCCAGTTTGTGGTAATTTGTTACAGCAGTCCTAGGACACCAATACATCATACAATTCACCCATTTCAAGTATACAACTCATTGGCTTTTATTATACTCAGAGTTGTGTAACCATCACCACTATCAATTTTAGAACATTTTCATCAACTCATAAAGAAACCTTATACTCATTAGCAGTCACTCTCCATTTCCCCTGAACTCAGGCCTACAACTCTAGATAACCACTAATTTACTGTCTCTATAGACTTGCCTATTTTGTAAATATATAAATATATATAAATATAAATGGAATCACAATGCAGCTTCTTTTACTTAACATAATGTTTTCAGGGTTCATCTATGTTGTAGCACGTATCAGTACTTCATCCCTTTTTATGACTGAATAATATGCCACTGTATGGATATACCACATTTTATTTATTCATCAGTTGACAGAGACTTGGGTTGTTTCCTTGTTTTGGCTATTATGAATAATACTACTATGACCATTTGTGTACAAGTTTTTGTGTGGACGTATGATTTTACTTCTCTTGGGTATATACCTAGGAGTGGAACTGCTGGCTTATATGGTTAACTCCATGTTTAACATTTTGAGAAACTGCCCAACAGTTATCCAAACCAGCTGCACCAGCAACATATGAGGGCCCCAATTTCTTCATATCCTGGCCAACACTTGTTTGTCTTTTTGACCGTAGCCATCCTAGTGGATGTGAAGTGGTATCTCATTGCAGTTTTGATTTGCATTTCCCTGATGGCTAATGATGTTGAGCATCTTTTCATGTGCTTATTGGCTATTTGTATATCTTCTTTGTATTTCTTTTTGGAGAAATGTCTGTTCAGATCCTCTGCCCATTTTTCAGTTGGGTTGTCTTTTAATTGTTGAGTTTTAGGAGTTCTTTATATATTCTGGATACCAGTCCTTATCAGATAAGTGATTTGCAAATATTTTCTCCCATTCTCTGGGTTGTCTATTCATTTTTTGATGGTGTTCTTTGAAGTCCAGTTTATTTTTTCTCTTGTCATTTATGCTTTTGGTGTTGTGTCTAAGAAGGCTTTGCCTAACCCAAGGTCATGAAGATTTATTCCTATTTTCTTCTAAGAGTTTTATAGTTTTAGCTCATATATTCATGCCTGTGACCCATTTTGAGTTAATGGTTGTGTATGATGTAAGGAAAGAGCCCAACTTCATTCTTTTGCACATGGACAGCCAGTTGTTTCAGCACCATTTATTTTTATTGTTGTAGTTTAAATGAAGTTTACATTTCAAATTAGTCTCCATACAAAAATTTATACATACATTGTTATGTGACCCTAATTGCTCTCCCCATACTGTGACAGCACACTCCTCCTTTCCACCCTTGATTCCCCATGTCCATTCAACCAGCTCCTAACCCTCTCTGCCTTCCCATCTCACCTCTGGACAGAAGCTGTCCATTTAGTCTCTTGTATCTACTTGAGCTAAGAGGCACACTCCTCACGAGTATCACTTTATGTCCCACAGTCCAGTCTAATCCCTGTCTGAAGAGTTGACCTCAGAAATTGTTTTAGTTCTAGGCTGATAGAGAATCCAGGGGCCATCCTTTCCGGGGTTCCTCCAGTCTCAGTCAGACCATTAAGTCTGGTCTTACTAGAATTTGAGTTCTGTATCCCCCCGTTCTCCTGCTCCATCAGGGACTCTCTGTTGCGTTCCCTGTCAGGGTGGTCATTGGTGGTAGCCGGGCACCGTCTAGTTCTTCTGGTCTCAGGCTGATGAAGTCTCTGGTTTACGTGGCCCTTTCTGTCTCTTGGGCTAATACTTTCCTTGTGTGTTTGGTGTTCTTCATTCTCCTTTACCCCAGGTGGTTGGGACCAATTGATGCATCTTAGATGACTGCTTGCAAGCTTTTAAGACCCCAGACGCCACTCACCAAAGTAGGATGCAGAACATTTTCTTAACAAGCTTTGTTATGCCAATTGACCTAGATCTCCCCTGAAAGCATGGTCCCCAGACCTCCACCCCTGCTACTCTGTCCCTCAAAGTGTTTGATTGTATTCAGGAAACTTCTTAGCTTTGGTTTAGTCCAGCTGTCAGCACCATTTATTGAAAAGACTATTCTTTCTCCATTGAATTTTCTTGGCACACTTGTTGAACATCAGTGGGCCATAAAAGTAAGGGTTTATTTCTGGACTAAGATTCTGTTCTACTGATCTATATGTCTATCCTTATACAGTACCATACTGTCTTGATTACTATAGCTCTGTAGTAAGTTCTGATATCAAGAAGTGTGAGTCCTCCAACTTTGTTCTTTTCTAAGATTGTTTTGACTCTTCTCAGTCCCTTGCATTTCCATATGAATTGTAGGATCAGCTTGTCAATTTCTGCAAAAGAACCAGCTTGGATTGGGATAGAGATTACATTGAATCTGTAGATCAATTTGGGGAGTATTATCATCTGTATAATATTAAGTCTTCTGATCCATGAACACAGGATGTCTTTCCATTTATTTAGGTCTTCTTTAATTCCTTTCAACAATGTTTTGTAGCTTTCAGAATATTAGTTTTATACTTCTCTTGTTAAATTTCTTCCTATTGTTACACGTTTTGATACTATTGTAAATGGAATTATTTTCTAATTTCATTTCAGATTGTTCATTGTTAGTGTGTAGAAATGTAATTTATTTTTGTATGTTGAGCTTAAAAAAAAAAAAAAAAACCATTGCTATAGAGTAGATTCGGACTCACAGCAGCCCTACGGGACAAAGTAGAACTGCCCCATAGGGTTTCCAAGGCTGTAAATCTTTACAGAAGAAGACTGCCACACCTTCTCCCGTGGAGCAGCTGGTGGGTTTGAACCACCAATTTTCAGTTACCAGCCGAGCATTTTAACCGCTGCACCACCAGGGATCTTCATATTGAGTTATATCCTGCAATTTTGCTTAACTTGTTTATTAGGTCTAACAGTTTTTTAGTGGGTTCCTAAGGATTCTGTATATACAAGATCACGTCATCTGAAAACAGAGATAGTTTTAACTTCTTCATTTCCAATCTGGGTACCTTTTACTTCTTTATCTTCCTTAACTGCCCTGGCTAGAACCTCCAGTACAATGTAGAAGTGGTGAGAGCGGGCATCCTCACTTTATTCCCATTGCCCAGCACATTAAATATTTGCTGAATTAACAAATTCCTGAAAGCTCAGCTTGGTTCTGAAACATACCCAGAGCACCTTCTCTGTGTAAGGAGGTACTGTGGGAGATAAAGATACAGGCCCATCTCACCAGTTCTGGGGGCAAGCCAAGCATGGGGGTAACAACCACTGAGATATCTGACTCTTGGGCCCATGTCCCCACTTGCTATGCTAACAAGCCCATGCTGATACTCTCACGACTCTCTGCAGGCTCACTGCTCTCCTCACCAACTCAGTTTCTGCTGGAGAAGTCTTCTCCCTTCTCAGGTATTTTTAAGGCCCCCAATCCACAGAGTTCTATCAGCCTTATAGACGCTGTTTAAGTCTCCAGGAACCATATCAAGGCCTCGGTGCAGCAGCCACACACACAAGCATGCCTCCGTCGGTGAACAACCAGACTCCATGAGGCATGAGCCTTTGGCCTCCTTCTATCCCATGAGGAGTTTCCTGCCTCTCTTGGACACTATAGCTTCATCTTCTTTCCTCAAATAGAATTGTCAAAGCCTGGTGGTATTTCTGTCTCTAAATGAATAAAATAAGCATGACTGGAAACTCAGCTTTATTCAGTTTTGCTTAGATTAGATTGGTCTGTTACTCGAAGCAGTGAGAAAGTCATTCTCAGATATTGATGATATGCATAAAAGTTAGTACCACTTTTGGGAGGGCAATTTGATAATACATACCATGAGTTTAAAACAAAACTCATATCCTTTGACACAGTAATTCTATGCCTAGAATTCTCTCCTAACAATAATCTGAAACGCATCAAAGATTTAGTTGTAGTTACCCAAAAAGCAAGCAGAATGATCATGAAGAATCTGTTTCTATCAGACTTGCTTAAAAGCTGTTTACAAGATACCCAATTTTCAGATTAGCATCATTATTACAAGGCATTTAGGTAAAAAATATAGCCATCTGGAGATTTGACAAGTTATTTGAGGAATAAAAAAGCTCTCAACTCTACTGTGATGGAGTATTGAGAAGAGTGGACTGAATTTCAGAGATCAGGTTCCACCACTGACTTGCTGATTGGTCTAGTAAGTTACCTAACCTCTCTGGGCCTGTTTCCTCATCCACCTTTGACAGAAAGTAAGAAGGGGGTCTAGCTTTCCCTTTTGTCTTTACTAGTGAGGTCTCTGTAATGATAGGAATTATCTTCACTGACTTCCCTTTGTCCTTAGAATGACAGACTTCTTAACACAACTTACAAGGTTCTGAACAGTGTGGCCCAGCCTACCTCTCTAGCCTCATTCTTCGCATTATCTTTCTGTTGGTTATTGTGCTCTAGCCACACTTCCCCTGAGGGCTTTCACATACACTATTCCCTTTGCCTGATATACCCCTTTTGCCTGGCCAACTCCTACTTATCTACAAAGTCTGAGCTTAAATCTCACTTTTACCAAGAACTCTTCCCTGATGATCCTGAGGTGATTGAGCTCCCTCTATTACATGTTGCTGTAAAAAAAAAAAAAAAATTAGCATAGCATACTTACAAAAATACCTCGCCAGGAGAGGGCACACAAACATAGAAGGCACGCATTATTTGTGTAAAAATATGGTGTATCCTCTCATGTTGCCCTCTACAGATCCCTTGCAAGGCTCATGACAAGGTCATTAAATACCTGCTAATGTAATTATTTATGTGGTTGCCTCTTCCTTTAAATACTCCATGAGGGCAGGTTCTCCTTCTGATTTGTTCGTGACTTTATCTTCAGGGCTTGGCAGAGTGCCCAGTACAGAGACTCGTGGTAATTTGTTCAATGAATGAATCCTCACAATCTTAAGAGCCTCAGGGACAGAGGGGCCTCTTAGAGATCTAATGCCTTCATTTTCGAGCTGATAATACCTAGGCCAGAAAGGATAAATGACTTTCTCAGAATCACAAGGCCAGCGAATGGAAGAGGCCATTTCACAATTAATTTCCTTCAGTAAATATCTTCTAAGAGCCTACTATGTTCCAGGCACTGTCCTAGGTTCTGGACAAACAACGATGGACAAGGCAAAGTCCTTGACCTGCTAGAACTTATATTTTGGTGTCAGAGATGGCCAATAGGCAGATAAACAAATAGACACATAATACAGAGGCAGTGATCAATGCTATGAAGAAAAAGAGGTGCTATGAAGAAAAAAATTTCATAACTAGTGAGGATGCAAACCCATGTTTTCTGGTTCCAAGTGTGGGGCTCTTTCCACTACATTACGCTGCCTGTCCTGAGTAAACAAACAAAACCATAATTTATGAGCTCCCTCAGCTGCCTGTGTGTGCACTCAGTGGGGTGAAACCCTAATGCCGTCCATGAAAAGGGGCCAACATCATCAGAAGCAGCAGCTGACTGGCTTGCTTGCTCAAGCAGGTGTCATGGCACTAGCCAGCCTGGCCTCTGCTGTCTTGAAACTTCACATCTGGCACCCAAAGAGAGTTTAAATACAACAGCCATTGAACTGAGTGGACTGAGAAGGGTTAGAGTTGGCTGGTCTCTGGGAATGATGCAAACCACAAGGGGACAGTACTCAGGAGGTGAACAGAGAAAACAGATGGGCTAAAACTACAGGCGTGACTATTGCCTAAGCACCCCATACATCACTGCGGGAGACAGGGGGAGGCCTTCTTCTCTGCTGGAGATCTGTTTATTTTATCATTTATAAAGGTGCCCTCTTACGTCTGTATGTGGGGAAATAGAATGTACACTCAGACCACCGGCTTTAAACTGTTTCAAGTAGAAATATAGTTGAACCAAGAGTACAGAATGCACATAGAATGGTCTGGCAGCTCACCTGAAAGGTAGTGGTGCTGATGAAATCAAAGAGTCATGGATTTGAGAGGTGAGTAGAATCATAAGGATACCCACTGAGGCACTGGTTCCATTAGCACTCCTGATTCACTTGGTTATAGTATCAGTTTTGATATTCCGATGTGTTGCCTATAACACAAAGTGGGCACGCTAATAAAAGTTAGTTGAAAAAAATAATAAATGAAGGATGACAACTCATTTTCCCACACTGGTAAGATTAAATCCCAAAGCATTACTTTGAAAATAATAAGTTATTTCCTAACCAAGTACTATGAACTAGACACTTGATGTTCATTATCTCTATCACAATAGCCTTGAGGTGGACATTATCTTTATCTTACAGATAGCAAACTGAGGCTCAGAGAAGTTAACTGACCTTCTGTAAGTCACACGATAGATAGTACATGGGAACTGTGCTCAGGTCTGTCTGACTCTTAAGTCCAAGTACTTCTACAAAACCAAGAAGTGATAATCACTTGCCTAACAGTAAAACACAACTGTCTCTAGCTGCTCTACTGCTTCTAATTTGTTGTAGACTGGGAAATCAGATAACTCATATTGTAAACTATGCACAAATTTGAGTAGAGTAGAGGGGCTTCATGAAGAAGGTTCAGAATGTTCTCATATTTCAGGGGTGGATTTTGGGGTTTGCAGCAAAAAACCTTACTGCTTGAGAAGTATATTACTGTACAGTCCCAAGTATAATGGCCATTCAATGGACATCTGATATGAACCCTAATTATGATATTCAAGACTGCTTACTGCTGGGAGAGAACTCATGTCAAGGATAGATGACAACAGGACACTCACAGTCTGCCTCTCAAATCCCAGGCCTTCCATGTACTTGCTGGACAGCCTCTCTGCCTTTCAATTTCCTAATTCATAAAATCGGGCTGGCATCTACACCTCACAAAATTGTCAGAAGGTTCAAATGATATACCAATATAAAAGCACCTGGCATAGGATTGGTGTACAATAAATATGACTCAGGATGACTTTAGTTGACCAGTCTGGGACTATGGGTGATTCTGGCCCAAAGAATTCCAGGGAGATGCAGTCAGTTCCAGGTCTAAATCAGAATGTGTGTTTGTGCGTCACAGAACTGCCTACATGCATCCTTAGTGGAACCGTGGAACCAATCCCATCTCCATGGTTTAACTAGGACCATGGCTCAGGCAAGAGCCAGAGGATTTCCAAGCATGAGATGACCCTGCAAAAGGCTATTCCACATTTGAAGTCACTCCTAATACCATCCTGTCCTGAGTTTCCAAGGGGATCAATGGAGTCATTCTCCTGAAGCTGGACTAAATCCGACCTCAAATTATTTTCCTCTGCTTGTTCTGTCTCAAGATGCAAGTTCAATTTGGCTCTTACGACCTATTGCGTACTGGTAATTCTCTCTTCAGGTTACAAAGGGTGATTTTTCTAACATACAAATCTGACATGTTAAAGCTCTTCAATGTCTTCTCATCGCCTATAATATAGTCTTAAACTACTTAGCAATGTCCTCTGTGATCTGGCCCCTGTCTACTTACTTGGCTTGATAACCTACCATTCCTCCTCTCACTAAACCACTTCTAACTCTCTACTAACACTCCACGCTTTCTCATGTGTACGTGCTTTCAATGAGCTGCTCCTTCTGCATAGGATGCCCTTCTCACCTCCCATCTGGAAAACTTCTATTCTACTCAAGACCTCAGCTCAAGCACATCCTCTGTGAATCTTTCTTTAACCCCTATAGCAGTCACACCAGCCTGTGGGGCTATACCTCCATTACACAGGAGAAGGAAAAACATGGTACAGTGGAAAGCATACAGGCCTCAAGTCAGAAAAGACTAGAGTGCAAATCCTAGCCCTTCCTCCAAACACCAAACATCAAGCAGAGAAGAGAAAGTCTTAGTTTCTACCCTAACATGTAGCCCACTGGTGTGGTTTTCCTTATGCGGAGGTAGATGCAGGGGACTGTAGCCAAAAGACTCAATGTCCTGAATCACTGGCAAGTTCATCCCTATCTGGGATTGACAATTTTAAAGGTGTTCCAACTTCCATGTTCACTCACACACCTGTTAAGCCTGGGAGTCAGCTTCCTATGCAGGTGTGCTAATCATAGCATCCAAGTATTCTAGTTGCTCTGGTTTTAATTTTTCATTATAAAATTATAAATTGGCATTCTAGCTTTATTAAAAATAAATACACCCCACCTTTGCAACTTATTGGGCAAATCACATAAACTCTGAGCTTCCCTATCACCATTTATAAATAAAAGGTGTTATGAGGATTAGAGAAAATATGTTTAAATATCTAGCACAAATTTTTGCCCATGGTAAGCATTCTACATAAATATTATACATACATAGTCATTGCCGTTGAGTTGATTCTGACTCATAGCAACCCTATAGGACAGAGTAGAACTGCCCAATAGGGTTTCCAAGGAGCAGCTGGTGGATTAGAACTGCCGACCTTTTGGTTAGCAGCCATGCTCTTAACTGCTGCACCGCCAGGGCTCCAAAACTGTATCTATATCTCCCCTCACCCCCACAAGACAGCCAATTTCTCAAGGACAAGAAATTCATTTTTGTATCCCCAGCATCTAGCCCCGTGCCGGGCACATAGCAAACTTTCAACAAAAGTTTATGAAACGCACAAATATGCTGTTCTGCCTTTTTAATAGTCTGTCAGTTCCAGGAAGGTGGAGAAATTGTCACATGCTTTTCTTATATCCTCCACAGCAGCTGCCATGGTTAGGCAAATTAGTAAGTACTGAAGGCACACTTATGAGTGGACCGACACATTCTTCTTCCTAGGGGTTGGTACACAATGGAAAAGTCACACGATTCAAAACCAGAAGAGCTACATTCTAGCCCTGGTTCACTTCCTTACTGTGAGGTGTTGGGCATACCAGCTAAACTCTCTGAGCTTGCTTTCTGCAAAATAAGGGAAAGACCTTGCAGCTTATCACTAAGATAAAGTACCATATAAATAAATGTAGACTACCACTAAGAGGGACAAGCGAAACCATCATATCAGGCTTTATGGTTTGCAGGAAAATGGTTCTGCCTCATGTACATCTCACTCTAGGAGAGAAGAGCACAGTAGCATGATTAAGCCATGTTTATATAATCTTCACACAGAAGACTGAAGGAGATATCCTAGGAAAACATGGTTTCGACATTCAAAATAGACAACACATCACTGGGCAATAGCTGTCCTGCGGCCACTTATCTACCTGTGAACCTGCAGCATGGCTTAACTAGGACCCAAAAAATGCTAAATTTCCACCTGATTTTTTACAACAGCTAGCTCAAAGGCAAGGCCGAGAGCTGGACAATCTTTTTCAAGGGAAACAGTGTTCTTCATTTAAACTGAAACCAATTAAATAGATTGCTTAGGGAACTGTATTTAGAAGAGTTTCCTGGTGATCTAAAATTAACCGGAAAACTTTATTCTATCCTCTCTTTAAATTCTTCTTAACGTTTATTAGTTTACCTATCAAACTTTGTAATTTAGTAAGTATGGCATACTAAACATAATTGAATCTTTGTTTAATGATTCAAGACCACTTGGCAGGGATGCCGCAGAAAGAATTCAAGAATCAGATGAGTGACTGACATAAAGATCTCCTTCAAATCTGACAATCTGTGATCTGAACACCTAGTTGTACTTTCACTTATAAAAATGAACATGATCACTGGACAGTATGGAAATGCAAATATACCACCAAGAGGCAGTATAGTATAGTGGTTAAGACTATAGGCATTGGAGCCAAACTGTCAAGATTTATATCCTGGCTCTGCCACTTGCTAGCCCTATGACCTGGGACAAGTTACTTAACCTGTTTCATGTGTAAAATGGGGATAAAAATACCAAAGTGGTAAGAATACCAAAAGGTCAGCAGTTCGAATCTACCAGCTGCTCCTTGGAAACTCTATGGGGCAGTTCTACTCTGCCCCTATAGGGTTGCTGAGTAGGAATTGACTCGACAATGGGTTTTTTTTTTTTTTTAATATGTGCCAAGATACTAGGGATTTTTCCCGCATTATTTTATTTAAAGCACCCCTTCAAGGTAGGTGGTAGGAAACTGAAGTTCAGAGGTTTGACCAAGGGCCCTCTGCCTCCTAAGCCTGTGTTGTTTCCATCCCAGCACCCTGCTTCCCCAGTATGCCAAAACTGTTGTGTACAAAACTGAGTTGGATTTATGCTGATCCTGTATACATCCTATAAGCTGCCTTTTGAAATAATCCCCTAGTACCTGCTTGCTTTCCTGTCAATAGTCTAAGAGTAGGACAGAAATAACCCTACTAAGGATTCACTTAATCATGGTTTAGCTATATCATGAAAGTGTAAATGGTGAGTGGGGTTCAAACAGCTAAAATTCACTAAAGTGGTGAACTTTTCTCAGCCTGTTTCTTCTCTTAAATCCTTTGTTGTTCTTTGCACAGGACTATGAAATCGTGCCCATTATGATTAGCCCAGTTCTTTTCTTAAGTAGGAGTCCCTTGGTGGTGCAAATGGTTAATGTACTTGGGGGCTAACCAAAAGCTTAACAGTTGGGTGCACCCAGAGGTGCATTGGAAGAAAGGCCTGGCCATCTACTTCTGAAAAATCAGACATTGAAAACTCTATGAAGCACATTTCTGCTCTGACACATATGGGCTTGCCATGAGTCGGAATCGACTCAATGGCAACTGGTTTGGTTGTTCTTTTTTTTTCTGAAGTATTAAGTCCCTTGCCTATATTCATCTAAGCATTTTCTCAACTGTTATTTAAAGCTATTTACTGTGTATGTCCTATCACTCCAAAATAGTAAACTCTGAGCTACTGCAATCCCTAAGTATCTTGCTGGAGACCTGGCAGTGCAGTGGTTAAGAGCTCAGCTGCTAACCAAAAGGTCGGCAGTTCAAATCCACCAGCTGCTCCTTGGAAACCATATGGGGGATTTCTACTCTGTCCTATAAAGGTCACTATGAGTTGGAATTGACTCAGCAGCAATGGGTTTGGTTTTTTAAGTGTCTTGCCCAGGACTAAATACAGCTAGCATTCAACAACTTTTGGTGCTTTGGCTTTGAATGATCCAATGCAGATACTAAACAAAGCGGTTTTTCCATTCTTCAAGAATAGTCCAGTAAAAGACATGCCATATGGAATAAGCAGCTTGGGAAAGAAAGTCTAAAAGACTAAAAGAAAGAAGTTAAACAAGGACTAGCCCTGAAGAACTCTGAGTATAAAGAAGGGGGAGGTGGGGGGAGGCTAGCTGAAGCCTAAAGAAACAAGGAGTCTGGCAAGAGCAAATGAGAAAAAAAGAGGGAGGGGGAGGGTGTGTGGGGGAGCCAGACAATATTTAGGGTTTCAAATAGAAGGCAAATTCTAAAGTCAAGGTGGGTTTACCAGACAGAAAAAGTACTGGAGAGAAAATATCAAGCTTCTCTGGCTAAGGAGCCTGGGTGGCAATGTGGGTGGCCCACACTTAATAACACAAGAAACTGGACACAGATACAAGTGGATAGAAGTGTCATGCAGCAGGGAGTGCAAAGAGTCAATCCTAAATGCAGACATTTGGGTACAATGTGCTCTTCAGAGAGAGCATGGTGACAGCATCGGCTAATTTACAGAGCTGCCAGGGCAATAATTCAGAAAGCAATACTGCCTTCTCACAACAAAACGAAGCAGCCCCACAATGTTTCATGGTGGTAAAAAGCTGCATTACAGCATACTGAGATCCCGTAACCAATGAAAGGAGACAAGTTTACCCAAACGAGTCTTGACACAGAGTACATTATTATGCACTCATTCTACTCATGTCCTGGAGAAACTATTTAGTTTCCTTATATGGCCCTTCTCTTCAGTTCTCTCCTGTATAATAATGAATGTCTTCTCAGAGAAACAAAGATAGAAAAGGAATAGAACTATTCCACTCATCCCCCCCATTCCCTCAGTTTTTTTTTAGGGAGGTGAGTGGAGACTCCTATCACTGAGAGCATCACAGAAGAACTACCAGCTTTTGAAATGACTTTTAAAAAATGGATTCTGCTACAGAAATCCATACTGATGGGGGAAGACAATGGAAATACTGCAACCATCCATGCTGGTTGCCAGAACTAAGCAAACATCTATTAACCACGACACATTTCTTTTATCCTGTTAGATCTTAAGACACAATGTGCATGCATATGTAGAAATATTCACTCATGGCAAACAGAACCATAGAAAATACCAGCCGTCACTCTTAACTGAGAATCAACTTCTAATGTTACTTCTCTTCTTAAAATTCTTTAAGAGAGCTCTACTGTCTTCAGATAATATCCAAACTGCTTAGCAGAACCCAGCTTCACTTCTCAATACACTTTAGTCCCTATTCTTAAATTCCAGAGATCATTTCCTCAAAAAAAGCTATGCTCCTCTGACTAGAAAACCCTTTCCATCTCTCTTTGCTTGGAAAAATTCTACTCATCCTCTAAGAAACTGCTTAGCTTCCTCTCCTCCAGGAAGATTTCTTTGACACTCACCCTCGTATGAACTCTCGGAGGACTGTGTGCTTACCTATCACTGCACTCACCATTTGGCATTGTAATTTCATTTTACTGGCCTGTCTCTTATACTACATCCTTGAAGACAAGTTGCCAAATTCTATTTGACTCTGTATTCTCTAGTATCCAGGTCAGAGGCCTGACAGTAGAGACACAATAAGTGGGTCAATGAATAGTTAAGTATAGCCATCTACAAATCTCATTTTCTTTTGATAGGAAAATATCCACTCTCCTTAAAGCCTTTTATCAAAAAGGACAACTTTCTTCCCCTTTTGATCACATGTACAGCCAGAGTGATGGCTTTGAATGAGTGTAATATCTGGGTCATATCTTGATAGGACTGACTTCAGGAAGTCAGTCACTAACTGCATCATTTATGACAGCAGGAAGGAAGCTACTACTTGTACAGCACCTATGTGCTAGGCAATGTGTACAAAATTTATGCTATATATACATCACCTCAGTCTTGACAACCCATGGTAAGTCATTTTAGCTCTATTTTGATAAAGAACCTGAGGCTCGGAAACTTGCCCAAGGTCACACAGCCAGCAGGTGATGAAGCCAAAATAATACAATGTGCAAGATCAGGACTAGATTTTCTTCTAATGAACTAAAAAATGAAGTTGGCTGAAACTAAGATTTCCCACAGGGCTGAAAAAATGATGAAGGCAGCAAATAGCTTGTCCCTCTCAGACTATGGGTATGCAGTTTTAACCATATAAACTGAAAACCCGCCTTGTCCCTGTTCAGAGTCTAAATAATTGCATATACTGCTGCCATCCTGTCAAATAACAGACCCATCAGACATTCAGTTTGAAGCACTGTTTTAAAACAACTTCTCAAATTTATTTAACTCATGTAGATAACATGGCAGAGTCTTGTATAAAAAGAAAAAAGAAGCCACCACTCAATACCAAGCCTTACAGATAGCTCAGAGTTTAGGCAGCATAGCATATTGGGCTTAGAGAGCACAGGCTTTGCACTATCCCTGGAAAAATGGAGACCCAACCAGCACCAGATTTCTCCAATTCAAAAATCAGTTTTATTAGAGATCCCAGCATTAAAAAATAAAAAGACTGAGTTGTTGCTTTTTCTTCTATCTTCCATTCCTATTTAGAAAAATGACTAGAGGCAGTGAAACACACACACAATTTTATAGGGACTCCTCCAGACGTTCTTTGTCAAGGTTTAAGTCCAGGCTTTCCATCTTTCTCCCCATCTTTTTCTCATTTTTAAAAAGAAAGTGTTTTAGTCTATGTTGACCTTTACTCAGCTTACTACATAAAACCTCAGCTTTCTCAAGTCCTAGACGTAACACCAGAATTCTTCTCCCAAACCTCTGATCTTAATCAGCCCACGGAGGTGCCTGGCTGGAAAGTCCTGGGTGACGGTTGCTAAAGCAGCTCATATTGACCCCAAGGCCATTCATCATCCTAACCTTAAACAACAGACTGCTGATCACATCACTTACTACATACATCAGCTTAGGAGAGGGAGGAAGTCAGACATCCTTCGTCTGATCCTCTTGAGTCACATCAGCAGTCGAGCCCAGCTCCCTTCACCAAAGCTCACTGTGCAAGGTCACTGCCACACCACCTCAACCCGCTGACCTCACCACCTGTCCAGGCATAATGGAGTCACTGACAAGCTACCGTTGCAACAGATGATCTTCCATAAATAACAAACAAAAATGCTTTATTTGCTGTTTAGACCTACTAACAACTCTGTCTCTCCATCTCCTTCTTGGGGAGCCTATACTTTTAGGCAAACACGGGGTTAAAAATACAGAGGAGCAACATCTATATAGAAATGTGTGCCTTATCTCTTCTTTACAAACTTCCTGGAGAACTGCTATTTCTGAACGTTCAGTTTCCTTGAGAAGGAGAAATTTTACATAACTGTTGTACACTATATGTAGGAAGGGATTTCTCTTTTTAGCCTCCATTTCTCTATATGGGTGTCACTCTCTAGGTATTAAGAGTAAGAAAGGGAGGGGTGGAGAGCAAAAAACCACAACGAGCTGTATAAAGCACACAGTGTGTCAGCAACATGATAACTCCTCTAGTATCATCAATGCCGACTCTAAGTAACTTCTTGTGGCATTGAACACATCATTAAATTTCTATTTGTGCTCTGCCTGAGGCTTTTCTCTAACCACTAATTGCGAGTGAAGGTCTAGAGAGCTTTTGTGAAAGAGGCAGAGCACAAGTAATGTGCTGGTCTGGAGCCAGGTGTCAGTGTACTTTATAATGGAGGAAAAGAGGATTACAGGGAGATTTTTGTCTCAGCCTTTAGTCCAACCAAGACTTTAAGACTTAAAGAAAACTACCTCATAGGGGTAGGGGACAGAAGTGTGGTAGTGGTGGGAGATGACAAGGAGAGTGGTAAACACATCCAGTAAAAAAAATGCCAACACAAGTTCACAGAATACAGAGGAATAAGAAGGAACACTTCTGAGTCATAAGCGGATCGTGGCATAGGGTGCGTGGGCCACAGTAAATTAGCCATTAAATAGCTTCAGTGGTAATTCTGAAACCTGTTCCAATTTATTTTTGGAGTGAATTCTTCTCCTGGACAGGTCAGATTGTGCTTTAAAAGTGTCATTAGAAGGTAACAGCTTTTAAATATTCTTTTGCCTCTTGCTTCCAGGTGATTTCCTTTTGGTTAAAAACCAGAAACAGTGTAAACCTCACATGGATGGAAGAAGAGTCTTTTGATACAGGTGAGGTGAGAAGCTGGATGAACTTACACAGTAAGTGAGAAAGTCTCTATCTTTTGGTCTTCTCCCTTGACCATTCCAAGTCTCTGACCTAACGGAGATGACAGTTTATTTCCTCTGGAAGAAGCCAGTAATGGATACTTGTCTGTTGGCTTTGCCCAGAGCAGCAGTCCCTTTCTTGGGGCCCTTTCGTTCCTCTTTGGGTTCTTTTTTCACAGTCATGGCAGGAGGTCTGTACACAGAGGATGTCTTCATCTTAAATTCCTCTTCACTATCTGTGCAGGACTCACTCTCGTAGACTTTCTCAGTCACTGGTGGAAAAAGGAAAAAAGAGGACATGAGTGGGTCGAGTCAGTTGGAACACTACTCTATCAGGAGGAATAAAAGGTCTTGCTCAGACCCTCTGCTTGCGGCAGGTGTGCTCACCTACTGCCGAAGCTCGCTCTCAGTGGGAAAGCAGATCTAGCCTCAAGTAGGAAGCACAGAAGGATCCTGGGCTCACACAGCCTCTAGTTCGGGCTCAGAAATAACATTCACCCTTGTTCCCTCACTGTTTATGTAACATGCTTATCATTTAATTGCCTAAATCCTTTACTTGGGTCTTGGTCTATGATAGCTAACTTCCTGAACTTTACATCCGAACTGTCAATATCTTCAATATCTACTTATACTGCCATGGTTTGATTGATTTCTTTAGTCTAATCTCCCTGACCCACAGTGCCTGCCTATTTCTGCTGCTATTTTTCCTGGTCTTAATCTCTAGTCTACTTGTCAGCCCCCATCCTGTCTACCTTGGACTCTCCTGGCTAGCTCTATCCTAAAGCCACCCACTTTCTGAACGTCCTAAGTACAGAGAACTGGAGATTAGTTACTCAACTGTTCTAAATGACTGCTTGCTAACCCAAGATTTGGTAGTGGTCTACGTCATAAAGGTAACTGTCCCAAGCAAAGTCTATCACATGGCAAGGAAACCTGATAGTTTTAAGGAGGGACAATGGTAAAATGAGAAACAAAGTTACCAGTTCTCTTACTCTCTATTAGCCAAAAGCGTATTTGGCCTTTTCCTCTGCCAATAAAACTAACTGAACCCTCCCCAATGGAAAATCTGAAAAGAACTATACCAGTGAGCAGTCATTATAAAGAAGCCCCAAAGTCACAGATAGTGGTTTGTAACGATGTTACAGAACTGATGTCTCCAGTATTACAATACATATACAACAACCACAAGAAACAGTACAATGCCACCTTCCTGCAACTTTAGAGAGCTGCAGCAGTTGTATAACTGTCATCTAAATTCTTTCTCAGACTTCCTGGTAGGAGCCATTAATGGAGAAACAATAAACTTTTCTTAGCTGAACTAGTAACCTAATTTGCTTAACAAAAGCTCAAATGATTAAAGTGAAGGGTATGTTTTCCATTAAAGAAGTTTTAAGCTCTTAATTACCAATAATTTCCTTTCAATAAAGTGTATTTGTCAAATTGTTCTAGAGGCATAGGCTTTGGAATGAAACATATCTGTGTTCTAATACCTAGTCTACCACTTATATAATCTCAAACTTAAATGTGTATCAGAATCCCCTGGAGGCATGTTAAAACACAGACTGCTGGGCCCCACCCCCAGAGTTTCTGATTCAGTAGGTCTGGGGTGGGACCTCAGAATTTGCTTCTCAGGTAATGCTGATGCTGCTAATATGAGGATCATACTGAAAATCACTGTTTTTTACTCCTCTACGAAATGAGGGTAACACTACTTCACAGAATGTATGGATGTGCCTAGTAGTGTTTGGCAAGTCCTATTCAATGCTATTTTTACCCTCACCATGGACAATCCTGGAGGTCAACTGGCTACTGTCATTCGTGTATTCTTATCCCTCCAATCCTGTTAAGGTTGCATAATTAACAGCCCTCTTCCCAAGAGTTCCTATAATTTCCCATTACTTTCAAGAGCCTAGAATTCACTTTGTTAACTCCTGCCAACTTAAAGGCTAAACGACACTAATAAGCTTTAAATACATACTGAATATTCTCTAAGGTCTTAATGGAGCCCTGGTCGTGCAGTGGTTAAGAGATTGGCTGCTAACCAAAACTTTGGCAGTTCAAATTCACCAGGTGCTTCTTGGAAACCCTATGGGGCAGTTTTACCCTGTCCTATGGGGTCGCTATGAGTCAGAATCGATTCGACTTGATGTCAACTTTTTTTTTTTTCTTCTTCTTTTTCTTTTAAGGCCTTGCTACTCCAGCTGTGTGCTCCAGAGACCAGAGACATTGGAATCTCTTGTGAGTTTATTAGAAATGTGGAATCTCAGGTCCAGTCCCAGGCCTACTGAATCAGAATTTGAGTTTTAACAAGATGTTCAAGTGATATATATACTCAACAAAGCTTGAGAAATGTTGCACTAAAATATCTGGGGAATTTCTGTGGCATTAACTATCTGTTCTCTGCAATTATGACTGCAGAATACCAGCCCAATCTTATATACATCTTCAAAAGCATTATGTAATGAATTACTAGGATAAAATCATGAGCTGTTATTTACTCAGTATCTTAAACTAGGGTCTGAAAAGCCACTTACAGATACAGAAAAGAAATAACTTACAAGCCTACAAGTAGTTGGTGGCATAAGACTGTTCTCCTACATAAGCTATAGCCTGTATTCAAATGGCAGCATGTCTAAAAACTAATTACACTCCAACGTCAATTAGCTTGTTATTTCATTACTTATTAAACTACTGGGGTTGCCTCATTGACAATTTTAAACAATGCATTGCTTGGGGAAGGTTAAAAACCAGTCAGGGCAGCACCAGTGAATTTCTTAAGCAGCACATTAGGTGTACTTTAAGAGCTAAAAGGAGCATTTACATATCCAAAGCTATAGTTACTTCAAACTACAGGACAAACGAGATTTCAACTTAAAAATACAGGACCTTTATTTTAACTGGGGCCCTGGTGGTGCAGTGGTTAAGAGCTCGGCTGCTAATCAAAAGGCCAGCAGTTTGAATCCACCAGTCGCTCCTTGGAAACCCTATGGGGCAGTTCCATTCTGTCCAATAGGGTCTCTATGAGTTGGAATCAACTCGATCGCAATGGATTTTATTTTAACTGAAAAACAAGCCACTTCTCTAGGCTGCCATAAAAAAGGCCTAGTTTGTATGCATAAAGTCAGATTTATTTTCCATTCAGCTGCTTTGCTCTTAGAAATCCACCCCCTTGTCCAGGAGTCCATCCTAAACATCTCTCAGGGGCCTAACTCCCAGGTCCCTGCAGCGAACACACAGAAGGAGAGAGATCAGCTTTTTAAACCTACAGAACTCTGATCCAGCACAGGAAAGGGCAAGCCCCCTGTGCGGGTACATCTGGAACAAGCTGAGGAGAAAAAGGAAAGCAGAGCTCCTTTGCTGGTAACAGGAGCCAAGATTCATCAGGTTGAACTTGGACTAAAAACCTTAAAAAAAGAGTGCTATGTGAGCACAGTTTTCATTGTTGCGTCCAAGGCTCTTAACAGTCCTGTCTGGAGGCAGGAGTGCAAAAAAGCCCACATCCCACACCTGGCCAAAACCTGAGTACTGTGTAAGTAATTAGCCACAAATTCCAAATCGACTGTCACAAAGATATATTTGATGTTTTTCTTTTGGGGTATAAGAAGGAGGAAAAAACTAGCATTGATGCTTTTGTCTTAAGTTTAAAAAAACAGACTAAGAAATTCAACAGTAAATAAATATATTACCACCAATGGACAAGCTCTGTTAGAAGACTGAAGGCAAAAAGAAACCACTCAAAGTCCAGAGTTCATAGACTCACAAGAAATTTACACTGAAAAGACAGAATTTCCACATGCAAGGAACTCTATTCCTCAATAGTATGCTACAATTAAAATGGCAGAGGCATTTTCAGGAGAGTAAAATGGTGAAGAATAATGGGACACAATGCATAACCAATGAGATGTCTTCACTAATTTTAACAACTACTCTGCCTAGAGAAAGCTGATTCTTCAGAGTCAATCTTTAAGACAGAAATTTGGGCTAGAACAGGAAAATTAAGAGAGGAAAAAAATTCTCTAGGAGAGGCAAGCTGTGGTAGGTGCCACAGGAAAGGAGAAATGACAATATGGGCTTATCCAATTACCAAGAAGTTTAAGGACTAAATCCACAACTCTTTCCAAACACAACAATACAGTAGCAAGATCTCAGCATCCCATCAGGCATCAAGTGCTAGATCCTAAAAACCTTACAGAAGAAGACAGCGTGGTTCAACTGTGGAAAGGTAAAACATGGCTGAAGAATCGGCCAATGACTCATGGCCTGAATTTTTTTTTTTTTTTTTTTT